ATATAAGTATATATATATATTCATTACAAAAGTTTATTCAGAGGGGCTGTTCACAACCCACATTGTCTTTTTGGTCCAATTCACATCATATATTGCCCTGGCACCTGCTGATAGTTTCTGTACGTGTACATTTTTCATAGAATGGTGCGGGCCACTTGGTTGCAAGCGCCCCGCCATTCGCTGCTGCTAATCCTCATGGACAAGGAGGGCTACTTCACCTTCTACGACTTCCTAAAGTCCGAATATGCGACCGAAAACCTCGAGTTCTGGACACGTATGGAGCTTTTGTTCACCGGAAAGACTAGGAAAGAGGTCTTGGAGACGGGTGTGTCCGTCCTGATGGGATTTGATAATGATAGCATAAACATCCAGGACTCTTTACGCAATGAGGTGGTATCGGTGTTAAGGTATGTCTTCTGTCTGATCACATAATACTACCGGGTTGGGGCGTCCTTCGCATCGTACCTACGGCATATACCGATTATCGCTACCCCCACCACACTCTGACTAAACGTATACGATTATATTGTGAAACGGGCGAATGGCCCATTAAATTAGTTCTAACGCTAAGTGCGGTACGTTTTTGGTCTCGTGTGTGCAGTCATATGGCGCAAGAGAATATCCACGACGACAAGCGCCTGTCGAGATCGGCAGCTGTTAGTAGACACAACTCAATCGATGAATTCACTAGCGACATAAAACTTTACGGACAAGGTATGTCATTTGTGCATGCGGAAAGATGTCGATAAACAAAATGTGTATGTGAGTTAAATGAATCTTGGTAAATAAATGTATATGTGAGTGTATGATTTTGGATTAATAAACGTATATGTTGTTTATATGATGTTGGATTAATAATGTGCATGTGAGTCATATGATTTTGTGCTGTGGTTGATGTATGGGAGTTCGTTTGGGTGGGTCGAAAATCAGTTGCAGTTCACAAGCAATGCGACGTCTGCTCTATTAGGTCTAACAGGAGTGTATGCTATAGGCTGTTGATAGTACATGTGTGTTCATGTGTGTGTGCTTGATAGGAGTGTATGCTATAGGCTGTTGATACGTTCATATACATGTATGTCCATGTGTGTGTGCTTGGTAGGAGTGTATACTGAAGGCTGTTGATACGTTCATGTACATGTATGTCCATGTGTGTGTGCTTGGTAGGAGTGTATACTGAAGGCTGTTGACACGTTCATGATGTACATGTATGTCCATGTGTGTGTGCGTTGTCATTTGCATACGTATATCTGCATAAGTTGGAGTTCGGTTGCGATCGTAGTCGTATTTCTCAGTTATGACAAATGTATATACTAAGATTGTTTACACATCCATGCGCATGTAGGTATCATGTATCTGTATCGTGGCTTGTGTATGTACATCTGTATATGTATGTCGAGAATCGGTTGAAATTGGGGTTGACCGCAGTCGGGGAGCGTAGCTCAACAGAGTTATCTCACCAACGACGCAAAGTATAGCTAGTGTACATACTAAGTATTGTCTGTACACTTACTAGACTAGACATGCCATCTAAGAACATACCGTTAGGGTTTAGGGTTCCGGTTTAGGGTCTGTGGTTTGAGCATGGGGGTTGGGTTTAGGGTTGAGCGATCTCATTGAATGTTTTAGGGTTCACAGACAGTATGGCAAATAATGTATTTACTTATGATCTGCACTCACACACCTCAGACATCAAACTATAGAAGGGAATGCACTATCAGAAAACGTATAGCGCGATGCACACACAAAATGCACAAGCATATATCTCAACAATTGTCCGATCAAGACCCATACTAAACCTGCAGGCAAGGGTACGCAAACACACCAGAAGAAATATACAACTAACACACACACACACACACACACACATATATATATATATCCAACCATTCAATGTACTTTACTTATAACGGAAACAGACACAGAGGCGATGAGTTCAGAAGGTGAGGGCCACAAACCAGCTGGTGTTGAAGAACTCGCTCGTGAAGCTCTGGGAGGAATGCAGTTAGTAGCCGCGGCAAATTGCGACGACTTGCCATGTCATGATATGCCAGGTGTGTATAAATTTTAGGTGTTATACACACACACACACACACACACACACACAACACACTCACACACACACACACACACACACACATACACACACACACA